GAGCACTAACCTTCGACGACATACTGAAACACGTGCTAAAGGCTCTCAGAGTGGCAGCTATAGATTAGTCATTTTCAAGCAAAATCTCGATACTGAACGCATGCTGCACTCCTGACAATGCAATAGTGACTTCTGTACACTATTCCACTGTCCTCATCTACTGAGAACAACCTAGCCCATCTAGGACTATATTGATACAATGCAAATAGGTTGCCTAGTAAAAAATGGCGATTATGTTAAACAATAAAATGGTTATAAAATGAAGTTGTTGACTATTATTTTCCGACTTCTCCAGGTTATATTCTCTGAGATTATGATCGAATTTCATGATACAAAAAATGGCGAAATCGATTTAAAAACTTTGCAAATAAGGTTATAGCTTTCTCCGGTTCTCCTAACTTATTCAGAATTTTTCAAACCATTCTTCTCTCCATTCTTCGGAAGTGCAGCCGTTAAAAGAAATTAAAATATCATCATTTGTGGAGTAACTTCCAGAATATTTGTTATATTGATAATCATTTGAGAAAGTAGGATTTCTATTGAACAAAATTTTTTTAGATTACTTTTTTCCGAGAAGCAAAATGTTTTGATGCTTTAATCTCTTTTGATTGAAAGAAATACATTTTTTAACATTTTTCTTCTTGAAAAACAGTTTCCTGCGTAATAATTTTGAAATGAAAGTTTCAGAATCTCATTAAAATTCAATAATTTATGAAGATTGATGATGCACAAAATGTTTGGATGGTTTAATCGATCGAATTCTCACAAATTTTGAAAGAATTCATCAATTTCCCAATGCTAATATCTTCCAATAATATTTTGGCATCAAGGAGATCCAATGTAAAACACATCATTGCTGGTTTGTTCATTAAATTCAAAAATTCTCAAATATGGTAATAAGAGCTCTATCTATGATGTTCCAATTTTCTCAGAGATAAATTACCATTATAATAAGACTTTGACGAATTAAGAATCTTATTCTGATTTGACAAGGTCAACGGGAAATCTGTTGGCCAGCGAAATTTGCAATAAAAAACTAACATGTTGTATTTCACGCCTTCACTTACTAAAATGACCTCATATGTCTAAGTTCTGATCGTAAAAATAAAGGTTCCTTTGTGGCAGTTTTTATAGCTTTTATCAATAGATTCAAGCTTCAATAAAATATTTTTGTTGTAATTTAAGACAAGATTAGGAATGAATCACTTATTACAATAAGTATGAAAGAGTAATTCCATTGAAATTCTCTAATGAAGAGCAGTAGTATTTTTTCTATAATTTTTCAGTTTCAAATTGCAAACGAAAAATTTCAGTCTACTTATGCCATACCAACAAATACAAATCAATGACATGGAGGGTTTCGCTTATCTCCTGATAAAACATTATCCTAAAAACAATAAGTTAAAATTAACACACTTGACTAAAGTTTCATTTAATATATTAAAAACTCTACATATGTTTTACCCGTTGAGTAATATTGTATACTCTTGATAATGGGTTAACCACCCGAAACAAATGTAGAGTTTTTAATATATTCAGTGAAACTTAAGTCAAGTGGTTAATTTTTATTTATTGTTTTTAAATACAAATCATTTTCATTTTTGTATTTTAATATAAATGATAATATTATTTTTTATGTATTATAATATGAATTATAATGACTGAGATTGAATTCTCGCTTAACTCTTGGTGAAACATAATTGAATATTGAATTAAATCAAACCCTTGGCTTAATGTTTCACGATTTATTTAACAATATGAAATAGTTAACATGTTTCGAGCGTACGCTCATTTTCAAGATTAGTCTTGAAAATGAGCTAACGCTCGAAACATATTGACTATTTCATATTGTTTAATAAATCGTGAAATATTAAGCCAAGAGTTCAATTTAATTTAATAAATTATAATATTATAATTATATATATTCTTCACACAACACATAAAAAGTTGTACATTGAAAACGTTAAATCTGAACTGAAAATTATTGGGGATGAATATGAACAACGTATTCTAAGCTTTTTTATATTGGAATTATTCAAATTATGAATCCTCATTCAGTTTCCATAGGCAATTCAATTGTTTATTTTCACATTCCCAATTTACCTCTTTCAAATTTATTATCACTTCCCATCTCTTATGTCAAACATATGTGGTATGACTATTTCTTAAAGTGAAAGAAAGTTTATGTTACGTTTTGAACAACCTATACTTTTGAAGATTTTGAACGGTAAATTCAGAATGAAGAACTTGACAACCGTTGTCAATAGCTTAAAAGATAAACAAAATATTTCATGTTATAACTTCGACCGAACTGGTTAGAAGACGTACTAACGAGTTGCAAGGATATACAAGAATTTCCGCAGACATTGTACTGTGTATTGTACTATTATTGAGGCTGTTCGACTTTCAGCACAAATTTCGACGAAATTTATTTCAATAAAACTGGACCGTTTACAGTTCAGAACCCTGCAGGTAAATTGAATCGTTTATTTCAGAAACGACCTAAGTGCGCTTTTTTTCTTAACTTTCTCTTTTCCGAAAACTAAAAAAAAACTGTTTTGCAGCTCAAGTATAGGTCTAGTCTCCTTCAAATATTTTTTATCAAATCCAGAGCATGCTATTGGAATAACCTATTTTATTGAAAAAAAATTTCCTTCAAATGTTTGAGTTATAAATTTTTAAAAATTTATAACTCAATAATATATTTTTGTCACTTAGTTGGTTTCTGAAATAAACGATTCAATTTTAACAAACACAAATATATAGTAAAAAATTGTTCGTACTCAACATTGACTATCTCTAACGAAACTATTTGTTTTATACATTCAAATATAAAATATTCTGTTGTTCTCTATACAGATGAATTCGATGATTCCGACCAATACAATAAACACAGACAGTCTACAAAAATCTATCTACAAAAAAAATTTTATTTATGAATACCTGTGATTGCGAAATAATCCTGGTAACCGAAGTGAGAAAGTAGTTTGATATTAATAAATGTAGATAAAAATAAGAAAATATTTTTAAAACAAATGTTCTAATATATTCATACTTTCATATATTCATATCAAATCAACATGGCCGGTCTCCGAGGCTTAGTTGGGAGAACAACCGACTATGGTGCGGTAGAATTCGGGTTCGAGCCCCGGTAAAAGCATAATTAAAGTAGTTTAATGATGGCAATTGTTGAGTACTATACATTGATTACAAGTCCATTAGCCGTTCGTAAGTGGCGTTAAACTGTAGGTCCACTGAATTGAAAAACAACACATTATTTCATCACATAATCATGATTATGATTCGAAACTAGTATCAAATATATACTATGAACAAAGTATGGATTGAAACAGCGAACGGTAACATAATCGTGATGAAATGGTGTTTAAATGAGTACGTCTTATTCATTCGGAAGTTTTTCTGCTTATAAATATAAGGAACAATTTTCAAGAAGGTATCTTATTCGATGAGGAAAAAGTAGTATATTTCATACTGCGAAAATAATTTCTAATAGATGTCGTTTTCATAGATAAATATTTAGAAAAGAATACATTTTTATGGAAATTGTTCCGTTATCGGTGGAATACATAATATTCTATTCATTACAGTGAGAAAAAGTTGTTCATTGGCATTGAATTTACTAAAATATTATTAAAAAATTATCAATTAGTGTTGAATATATTTTTGAGATCTCAGGGAGATGATAGTTATTATCATATTTCGAGTATGAATTTTTTTGACATGATCTCCGCGCCCCCGACTTATTTGAAGCATTCAAGAAACAGCAATTCATTGGCTAGTACTTGATGAAAATCCAACGCTATATTGAAAATAAAACTAATATACGCAATATTCGAAATATAACAATTGGTTCGCCAATTACTTGGCATCAAATTAATTAAAAAATAATAGTTTAAAAATATTGAATTAAAATTAATTGCATGCTTATCAAATTTTCATGAAAACGTACTGCAAATTAACCACCAACAATTCCAAGATTTGAAAAGTACAATACAGACGAACTACAAGAATTATTATGACAATGCACTTCACTAATAAAAATTATTTTAACGCGTTTTTATATTTTCCGATGCAGTACGAACTCATTATTGGATATACAGAATGGAGGAGAACTCTAAATTTTCTTTTTTTCGATTTTCAACTTGGCCAACTAAAAATTTGAGAAGCTGAAGTTAATTTCTTCGTAGTGTTGAGTAAATATCAGTATAAACATGACCAAAAAGAAAAATGCACCTTTGTAACCTAGCTGTTACGAATAAGCAAAAATTGTTTTAAGAAGTTTCATTACCCTCCTGTAAAATTGTTGGCCAAGTTGGCGTTTACCGGTTTGCAGATTATGCCATCGATATAACAGACTATATAAATTCTGCTCAAACAGTAGGTACTCTGATGGGAACTACTCAGAAGTATCAGTTCATGCACAAACTTCTACACAAATAACTGAATAAGTAATTCCAATAAATACAATTTCTTTTTCAGAAACATTGTTGTATTTATAACACAATGATAATCTGTTGTAACCGGTAATTCTTAAGATCCCAGGTATGTCAACTTCGAAATGACCACCAAATAAGGATGATCCATTCATCACATAAAGTGATGTCAACCTCAGGTCTACCTCCAACAATTATTTAGGTTATTGCTACCACGCCGCACCCCTTGTCAGCAGAAGTGAAAAAAACTTTTACCCTACTCCCAGTCTTATATTAATATTGGTATTTTTCTCTGAGTGTATTTTTTTGTTTGCTTTATATTCAGATATTCAGTTTAGAGTTGGGAATAGATATTTTTGTATTAATTTATATTACGTAAAACCAAACTTCTTTAAAATTTTTGATGTATATATTTGAATTTTTTTAATTCATTAGACCTACAGTTTAACGCCGGATTCGAACTGCGATTGGGCTTGTAATCAATGTACATTACTCAACAATTATTATCATCAAATTACTCAAATCATAGACAAACACATACATCCATGCCTTCACCGGGGCTCGAACCCGAATCCCACCGCACCATAGTCTGGTGTTTTGCCAACTAAGCCACGGAAACCGGCTATGCACATATTTATTTCAATGAGCAGTACTCAGATTATGATACATATTTTGCAATACTCACCTTGGAAAAAAGCCTGCCAAATTGAAGTTCTTTGAGGATTCTTAGTCGTTCTTCCTCTTCAAGTTCCTCGTAGGACTTCGCTGGTAACTTACGATTATGTCACACTTCGTTAACTAACTTGGATACATGTTTTATCACTTCAACTTACGCTGCTCTGCTTACATCACGTCAAATAGTCAAATCGTTAATCGCACAGAATCGAAACAATATATTGCTGGAAGCAATTTAGAAAAATTAATAGCATGCGGAGATTCCCCTACTCGGTTAATTGATGATCATCGATGTTCGATGGTAATCGATGTTGGAAGCAAAAACATCGATGTTTTTACATCGATTTTGCTATAGAAAAAATATCGTAACATCAAACGGAATCGATCATCGATGCCTTCCGAGTTGAGCTACTTTTTAAAAAATCCTGTACCTGATCTTAAACAAGATCCTATCCAAGTTTGAAAAAATGTCATCGATTCACTTACCCGAAATAAAAAAAATTGCGTTGAAATATTTGAGTACTATTGCGACATCCATGCCATCCGAAAGACTGTTTCAAAAAGCTAGCTCGGCTCTTTATCAACAAAGAAATTGATTAAAAGGTTATTTTTTCAAATAGATTGAAAGATTTCTGAATGAATTTCGAACCATTTCACTGTATTTTATTTCCTTGTCAATTATTAACGCAAAAAATCATGGATGTTATCCAACATCGACGTTCGGTTTTCGATAAATATCGAACATCGATATTACTCTCTCGATTATGACAGCGACGGTACCATCGATGTTTTTCTAATATCGACCATCCCTAACCTAAACGTATTCTTTTTTTTTTTACACTCAACAGACATTTTAAAACTGTCCCATAATAGAGGAGCACATAATACAAATGTTTATTACCTATAAACTGAAGTGTATCTGTTACTACTTGAGATGAAAGAGTTTTTTGAAGGACCGTTTGAATGAAAATAATGTAATTGAATGCTGGAAAATGAGTTTTTTCACCTACCTTGCTAGACCTGGAATGTCTCTTCAGCATGAGACGTGGATTGGTAGCACTTGGTGAGATATTTTGAGTATTAATTATACAAATGTTTTAGGTATGTATATTATAAGATATAACGGGTGATTTTTTAAACGTTAAATTTTTCAGGTTGGCACAACTGGATGGTAATGGCATCCAAACGTCATCGGTCAGAATGGGAGGTTTTCAGTATACTCTGCCATTTTATCGTGAAAAGACTTACAAACGAGCAACGATTACAAAGTGTTGAAATTTACTATCAAAATACATGCTCGGTTAAAATGTGTATCGGTTGTTACAACCACATTATGGTCGTCATAATCGACATGGTAAATCAACAATTCGTGCTGTTATCACCAAATTTCGCACCAAGTATACTTTGTTGGGCATTAAACCATTGTCTCGCATGCGCACAGTGCGTACTAAAGAGAATCTTGCAGCCGTAGCGTAGTGTTATCGAGGATCGTGAAATGTTAATTCGTCCCCGTTCTCAGCAATTGGGCATGTGTTTCTCAACCACATAGAAAACTATACGTATTGATTTGGGTTTCAAAGCCTATAAAATTCAACTTCTGCAAGAATTGAAGCCGAATTTTGTAATTTTTAGTGAATGGGCCTTAGAAGAGCTTAATGAAAATCCGCTGTTTTATCGAAAAATTGTGTTCAGCGACGAGAATCATTTCTGGCTTAACGGATATGTAAATAAACAAAACTGTCGCATCTGAAGTGATGAACAGCCACATGCCATACAAGAATTTCCGATGCATCCCGAAAAAATGACAGTTTGGTGTGGTTTACGGGCTGGTGGCATCATCAGTCCATTTTTCTTCAAAGACGATCGTGGAAGAAACGTTACCGTCAACAGCGAACGATATCGAGCCATGATACGAAACTTTTTCTTGCCCCAGTGGCCGAGTGGAACTTGGTTGACATGTTGTTTCATCAAGACGGTGCCACATGCCACACAGCTCGTGAAACAATGGACATGTTGAAGGATGAATTTGGTGAGCAGCTAATCTCTCAAAATGGCCCTGTGAATTGGCCGCCAAGATCATGCGATTTGACACCTCTGGATTATTTGTTGTGGGGTTATGTATAGTAGTTAGTGTATGAAGACAAGCCGAACCCCATTGAAGCCTTACAAGATAACATAACACGCCTAATTCATGGGATACATGCCGAAATATTCGAAAAAGTGACGTAAAATTAGACCTTCCTAATGGAACATTTGTTACGGAGCAGCGGACAACATTTACATGAAGTTATCTTTAAAATGTATATGTCAAAATCCAAGTTATCAATTGCAATAAAAATTTTGAATATATGAGGCAAATTGAGTGAAACTACTCTTAAAAAATCACCCCATTATATGTCAATATAATATAAAAATAGTATGGCGTTAACCAGCGAATTTTCCATCTGGTGGTTACCTTCTTCCCGGTGTAATAAAACTCCTTTCCAGCACATTTATCACAAATTTTAGGCAACGCACATTAGATTAACAATAAATAAAAAAGAATGAAAATGAAAAACCAGTTGCTTAAGCAAATATCTATATAAGAAAAATCTATACAATATAGTTACCGAAAGAAATGAAAATAGTAAAGAACAATGAATTCACATAAAATACAGGGTCTAGCAGCAACAGTATCTAATATGTATGTTTCATACAAATTTTTCATACATCTCATCGAAATAAAGTTTTCGATGAATTGACTTAAATAATTTCATTCACAACACAAAATACCTTATTCTACTGAAAAAGATTAGAGAAATACATTATGAAAGTAAAACTATAAAAACAATTAACTATTTTAAATAAGTAACTCTATAAAAAATGTTAATTATCCTGTTATCGTCCTTTAAATAATCTCTTTTTCTAATGTCTCGAAAATGTGTTTTGTTCTCAAGCATAGATATTGTGGAGGTTGCCATATATGTGAAAAAGTAAATAACTACTGCCAACATACATAAGTACTATCTACAGTCCCTTTCATGTAATAAAAAATAAGCAGAGCAAACAAGTTCCAAGTCTCTTTAATGCTTACGTAATACTTGAATGGCCCCTATATTTGAGATGATAATTTGAGGATCTTTGTTTGTCGACAGATGTACGTAATTCGAATATTAAAAGAAAAAGTCTGATTTTTTTCAAATTAAATTTTGATTTTTTTTAATTAAACATAAGTTTATGAATTTAGATACTAATAGAACCCCAAAGCTGAAACTAAAATTGACGTATACCCCTGAATTGAAATTATCATAACTTCTAGTGTTTGAAGTTGCAATTTATAAAAATTTCATGAATTAACACAGAAGCATCTAACTTAGGATTTCTGGAATTAATTTTCTATGTGATTGTTTTTTTTATTAAACATTTCTCGAGGATCTACATTTTTTTTTTTACCTATCCTTTGAGATTATTCAGATCACGATTTATATTGAAAAGGAAATTTTTTAATCTCTGAAAAATTATTTGTAATGATCGAAATTGAAAATTTAGAATTTTTTTCGTGTACAATGTCCTCATATTTCAAAATCGAAAGTGTCCTCCATGTCCTCAAAAGTCAAAATATTTATATATGTGCGCCCCACAGCAGGTGCAACTATGTATTTATATACTGGGAAAGTCATTATACATTTTTGTCTCATTTTCGTGCTGATAAAATCTCAAAATATCGAAAATTAATCAACTCAATAGTCGAATTATGCAACTTAAGATATTATCGTCTGAGGAATAATTACTAATATTTGGCTCAAAGAATCATTGCACGCATGTGACATTCTGATCGCTAGCAACATACAACACGTTCACCGCGCGGTGGATTCAAAGACACCTAATAATTACTGGAAACAATCTCAAGCACGACCGTCTCGAGATAACGGGCACCGAATCTGTTTCCATATATTATAATATATGGGTATATTGTTGAATAATTTGCAAAGTTGCTTGCATGCTTCTTCCTTCGAGTATAATTTAGTGTTTAGTGAACCGAATTCCTGACACAAGCATACCTAATTCTCACACTTTCAGTGAACGATCTATCAGATTGCTAGTTGGCACCTCATTATCTGCATGGTTTGAGCTTTCAATATCCTCTGTAATTGAACGATGTTTCTATTACAATAGTACGGCATATACCGAAACAATAAACGGACATTTTTCACAGTAACTACGTGTAATTCTATACTATATAATATACTATACTATATAATATTCTATATTATATAATATATAACTATAAATAATAAAATAAAAATATCGAATTTTTACAATATAAATAAAATGGTTCACGAATCAGATATATATATATATATATATATATATATATATATATATATATATATATATATATATATATATATATATATATATATATATATATATATATATATATATATATATATATATATATATATATATATATATATATATATATATATATATATATATATATATATATATATATATATATATATATATATATATATATATATATATACTATTACCTACATACCTACTCTTATGAAAAAATTTTTGAACTATTGACACGAATCATTAATATCATATCCTCAACCAAAATATTTCTGAATTTTCATACATTTTACTTGATTCATCTTTCCGTATTTAAGTCAGTAAAACATGAAGTCCGGCAAAGATCAAGTCTGGGTCCAGTCATTATATATGTGAATGACTTACATATTTATAGCAATACGCAATAATAGAGGCAATTTTATGGCAATTTGATGAATATTCCAACTACGTACATAAATAACACATCTCAATTATGGTTCGCGGCAAAAAACTAAAACTGACTGATGGCAAACCTCAATATATAGACCTTTCGTATAATTCCTCCGATTACTCAGAGAAAAAATACTTCGAAACTGCTTAACGTAAAAATAGAAAACACACTCTCTTG